CCACAGGGGTTACATATCTGATATCCTGAATATCCATGTTTACATTACAATTTATAAAAGTAGCAAAATTACAGTTATGAAGTAGCCATGAAATAGTTTTATGGTTGGGGGTCACCATAGCATGAGGAATTGCATTAAAGGGTCTCAGCAGTAGGAAGTTTGAGGACCACTCTAAGGGATCCTGTGGGCTTTAGGACTGATCACATTTTTAAGGTGATACTAGCATCACTTACACTGAACAGCAGAAGTTAGTTTTGTTGGTTTCTAAACTAAAGACTACTAAAAATATTTCCTCAGCCTTAGAGAGCATCCTTCATTGGGGCAAAACTCCAAATACAACAGGAAAGCTGTTCTGCCTGTACCTATGAAATTCATAATTGAAAACTTAAACAAATCATGGCATTCATTTAATTCCAACTTGATGTGTCTAAGCGAACATAAAAATCTAGTAGGACTAGATGAGAATGGAAATGAAAACTCAGAACAATAATGCAGGGGACAATCAATGTTGTGGCTTCATGTGCTTTCTTTTTAGTATTTATCAAGGGCTGCATGCATGGTGACACAGCCCTTTATTCTTAACATTTGGGAGGCAGAAGCAAGAAGGTCTCTATGAGTTCAAGACCAGCCTAGTCAACATAGTTAGTTCGAGGTCAGCTAGGGCTTCACAGTGAGACCTTGTGTCAAATGATAATAATAATAAGAAGAAGAGGAGGAGGAGGAGAAGAAGAAGAAGAAATAGAAAGAAGGGAAGAAAGAAAGATAGAAGTGAAGAGTTCACAAAACAACAAAAGCCCCACTCTAACACACACATACACACACACACACACACACACACACACACACACACACACACACACACACAGAGCAATTCATATGGTAATAGCAATGGAAAGTTTGGCTGTTAACATCAAATTTCATGTATCTCCAAAGCAGCACTGTTATGAACTAGAAAACTTAAGAGGTGGGACCTAGCCTGAGGTCTTTAGGTCACTGGGGGCTTGGGCTCAGTGTTCCCTTTTTTCTCTCCCTCTCGCTTCCTGGCCAGGAGGTCAGTGACTTTGTTCCACCATGTCTTTGTTTTGTTTTAGATTTTGCCTCACCAAAAGCCCAAAACATCAATACCAACAGATTCTGAACTGACACTTTTAAAATTGCAATAATAATAATAAAAAGTAAAAAAAAGCTTTTCCCCTTCTAAGTTATTTCAGATGTTTTCTCATAGCTGATCTAACTTCATAACACATTGTAGGATAGGAATAGAACTGAATGTTGCCCCTTCCTCTCAGGAACCTGGCAAGGTGACTTTCAGTGGGGATGCTACAAGGGTGTCTTCTTTGATACAATGTTGTCAGCGCTCCAGGTGTGCCCTTGCCCCATCCCACACCACGGGTCTCCGAACAAAGGCCATCATGTCCAATACTAAGTTCTGAGATTCCTTACACAATGCTAATGTGTTAATAATAATGTACCCAGTTCCTCTGGCATGCGCAAAACTGAAGCAACTTGAAATGCCATCAGCAAAAAAATTATTTATTTCTCATCCCTGAGCATTACAGAAAGCAGAATCTCATTGGCTGGGTCTGTCTTCAATAGCTTTCTGGTTTTAATTAAAGCTTCAAGTCTCCAAGGAAGAAACTGGCATTCTGGGAGGCCAAAGAAAGCCCGGCCAAGTGTTAGTGTCTCCACGGGAACCCAGAAAGGATGTTCTATACTTCTCAGTATACTTTTTCCTCTTTGCATATGCTACAGAAACTTAGGGCGGAGAGTGTAGTATGGCTGAAAATAATGACCACATTGCAAGAACTCCCCTCCCCTAGATGGACAGTTTGGTGACACGGAAGTCGTAATCTGGTTCCTAATGGAAGGTAAAATCAAGATTACAGCAGAGAAGGAAGGAAGATCCGGAGGTGAGTGCTCACCTATGTATTTCTTCTTTAGCAATATTCTTCCTCCTAGCTCTCCCCACTGGGCATTTTCAGTTAAATTCCACAGTAACCCAAAGCTGCACTTTTTTTTTTTTTTTTTTTTTTTACCTCCTCTCCTTCACTGGGTCAGGGACTTTTCAAAGTAGCTCCCTGTGAGAAATGGCAGTTTGGGACCAGATGCTCTCCTGGCAGCAGGGGCTGTTTGCCTCCCCCAGGGATACCTCCAGGCTTCCCATGGGACACCTAGAACTGAGCCTCCAGGCAAGGTCTTCCTATATAGCATTCTGATGTTAACATGAAAAAGATCAGATCACAGCCTCACTCTGGCCTGGCTCCTCCTAGGCATAAGGCACTTCTCTCCTTGCAAGCTGCAAGTGGTCCCCTTCCTAAAGTAACCCCACCACCGCCTGAGGTGCATCCCTTCCCCCACCTCCACTTTGTTTCTGCCAGTGACACATCTATTTTTCCTGCTCAGAAAGACAAGTCCCTTTCCCTCTGTCTCCTGACTGCCTGTGATCCCCACCTCCTCCCCCAGCTCAGCTCAGGTTACTGAAGTGGCAGCAGCTTGCACAGCCCAGCTCCAACTGCAGTTCAACTTCCTCAAACTAGGATCTCTCCCTCTCTCTCTCTCTCTCTCTCTCTCTCTCTCTCTCTCTCTCTCTCTCTCTCTCAAAGGATTATGTGCCAAGCAGCACTCTGAGTACCTGGCCTTGGTATTTCCTGGGACTCCATTTCCTGCAGCTTGAAATGCCTTCTTTCAATACTCCTGTCTGATTTGCCTCCAATACTCTGTCTTAATATCCTTTTGCTGGTGACCAGCAAGGAGCTGATGCACAGGCTTAGAAACACAGCAGCTTCACAGTGACTCTGCAACCTGGACATCCAGCTCAGAGCAAGGACATCAGCCTCCTTCCTCCTTCCAGGAGTTTAAGGACAGTCAGTGGAAGGCAGCCACAGAACCCAAGAGGAGAGGGAGGCCAGGATTGTAAACTGGCTGCATCTTAAAAGGCTGTAAACTCTCTCCTCCCCCTGGCCAACTGGCACTACCTTCTCTTGCCAGCCAGGCTGTATTTAACTGGGGTGAGAAAGGAAACTCTTTCCTGGGTACCTAGATCTGGTCTCAGGGCTGAAGCTGTAGCTGCCGAGGGCATTCTTCCACTCTAGGTCCCTTTTCACCACAGCACAAAGTGCAAACAGGAATTTCAGAATTTGAGTTTGAAGGAGACCCATGAGGTTTATCAGTAGGCACTATACAATCACGGGGGATGGGCCCAGACTGCCAAAGAGTTTTGGTGGCAGCTTCTTTATGAAGTCACTTTTCACTGCAAATCATCAGGAAAATCAATCAATCAATCAATAAAGCAACATGAAGATGGAAAGAAAATAAAAGAAAGGAGAAAGGAATGCATTTTTTTTAAAGAAACTAAGATCAGTATTTCCATAAAGACCATGGACTCAAACCAAACTTCAACAGGAAAGGTGTGGATGGTTGTGGGCAGGAAGACTAGGGGCAGCAAAGGGAAAGTGGCTTCTGTAGAATTCAAAGAATCACTCCCTTATAGAGAGAGTTTCGGCAGGACTAAGGATGCACACACACACACACACACACATACACTGCCCTGTTAGTATCAGACATCAACCATGAGATTATCGGGACAGTTTATTTGAAACGGAAACAAATCGGAAATCCTTCCCTCAACAGTCCCTTCAGACAGATACACATGCTGTGAATCCCACAAAGGCACATAAAGAATAAATGCGGCATCAGAGGGCAGTAACAACTCGTCGCCACACTCCCAGTATCTCTAGCCTCATCCCCTACTTTCAACTGAGCAACTTTCCTGATCTTCAACAAAATATCTGTAGTTGGGTCCAATTTCAGAACTGTAGTAGCTGATGCGGATCTGGGAGGGAGGAGATGGGAGAGTGTACAGAGAGGACGTAGAAGACAGCATTTCAGCAGTAACTTATTTATTTTTTTTAAGGAGCAGCATGCTCTACTGATCGGAAATTGCAATTACCCAACAATGCTTCCATCACAGACACCGAAAGCAGTGTCCCCGTTATCACCGTCTGGCTACAGATCTGCCCAATCCAATTTACCTGACTTGGAATCTGAGGAACTTCACAACAGTATTTTGGTCACAGAGATAATGGTTCGAAAGACAAAAACAATAAATCCATACTGAAGGGTTTTCTTTCCGGAGTGATTTCCCACTGGAAACCACCGAACAGGGAAGCCTGCCTTAATTCCCAAGCCCTAGGCTCCTGTACAAACGCACACAATGCGTGCTTTCAAAGGGGGCATTCTCTGCTTTTAAGGGAATTCCTGCCTTTTCACAATCCCCAGTCCGGAGATCACAAGAAAGAGACTCAAATCCACTGATTAAGATTTTTTTAAAAGAGAAAAACTAACACACAGCCAGAACACAAGCATACACCAACCTTCATTGGCTGGACCACTTCTCGCCTGTTCTTCTATTAACGACACGTTAGATTCTGATACATTTAACCCGCCCCCCCCCCATCCAACTAGGTTACAATGTAGCTCTCTAGCTCCACTTAACCTGCAAGTTACAAAGAGAGGGGAAAAAAAATATCCTGCCGCCTCCCCACCCCTTTCCCTACCCCCTCCCTTTCCCCAGTCCACTTCACCAAAGCCAAACCCGCCAGCCCGGCAGCCGACAGCAGGACCAAGGGAGGGTGCAGAAGGAGGGGGTGGGGAGGGGATCAGATTAGCCGAAACTCAATAAGCTCCCAGCCCTCCAGCCCGGTGCTTCCACCATCACCGCCACCAACGGGCTACTCCAGTTAAGTCAGCACCACTGCCGACCCACCAGCCGGCGGAATCGCGCCCATCCCCGCGCAGCCTCGCGGGGACCTGCATCCCGCCCCCTTGGCCGGGTCCCCCACCCCCGCTGCAGCCCAGTGCAAAGTCAAAGCCCCGGCGAGGCGACGTGAACTTTTGCATGCATGGCACACACCGCCCCCGGCCCCCGGCGCGCTGGGCCCGCGGCGCGGCGGGAGGCTAGGCGCCCCGGCTCCCGCGCCAAGGTCGCCGCGCTCGCTCACCCATGTCCCGGCGGCTCCGGCTCCGCTGGCCTGGGCGCTCGCTCAGATTCCGCCTCCGGTCGCTCGTCCGAGCCCCCAAAGGTGCTGCTGCGGCAACTCCATAGCGACGAGCATCTGTCAAACGGCGACGCGCGGGGCGGGCCGCCCTCGCTCGGGGGGCGCCGGGGCCCCCGGGCGCGCAGGCGGCGGCGAGCGCCCCGGCCAGCCCCGCGCTTCCCGCCCGCCGCGGCCGCCTCCGCCGCGCCACCGATTTACGGAGAAAGATATCAAGGGGGAAAATGGCGTCTCCGGAGCCCGAGGAGTCCTGGAGTAATCACATTCACACACACGCCCGCACGCACACACTCGCACACACTCGCACACAGGCGCTCGGCGAGCCCGGCTAATTTTAGCAGGAACCAAATATAATATATATATGTGTACATATACATAAATATGCATATGTACACATATATTATATAGATTTCCCCATCTCTCCGTTCAATGCTATTTTTTTCCCTTTTCTCCAAAGGATGGATTGGAGGGTTACAAAATGTTGCCCGGCTGGGCTCGCAGGAGGCGGCGCGCCGAGGGCTGGGGCGCTTTTGCTGAGCTGTGCAGTTCGGTCCCCGGCGCCCGCCGGCCCTGCCGCCGCTGGTCTGCCCGCGGTCGCTACTGCCGCCGCCGCCGCCGCCGCCGCTGCCGCCGCCGCCGCCGCCGCTCTATGACCGCGCCCGCCCCGCGCCCCCTCCGCGTCCCTTCGCCGCCCGCCCGCGTCCCCGGCGAGCGCTGGAGTGGGGTCGGGCCCGTGTGCCTGCCTCCCGCGCCCTCTCCCGAGTCCCGGAGTCCTACTGAAAGGAAGGGGGAGGGCGTGAGCGGGGGAGGGGGAGGGTTGGAGCGGCCGCGCGGCGGAGCCGACGGGGACTGCCACCCCGCGATCTGCCTCGGAGGGGGCGCGGGAGCCCACACTGCTCGCTCCGCGAGCCCGGGCCGCTCCCCAGCCGGAGCCCAGGGAGGCGCAGCCGGCGAGCGGCCGACGACCTCTCCCTCGACCGCCCCCCTCGGTGAATTTCGGTCAATTGGGAGGGAGTGGGCTCTCGCCGGGGGCGGGGGAAAGGAGAACAGTTCGGGGACGCGGATCCGGGACCCCTCGCCAGCCCCGCGCCCCTCCCGCTCCCCAGCGCCCTCGCGGCCCAGTAGCTCCAAGGAGTCGGAGTCAGCCGCGGAGACTGTGCGGCCGCGGGGACCGCCGCGGGCTGGGCGCCGGTTCCCGGGCTCAACACTGCCACTATCTGACACGACAGGAGCAGTGTTGGGGGGAGCTGCGTGCAGAGACGCGAAATGTGATAGGCTCTCGTAAATGGGTGCTCTTTTTTTTTTTTTTTTTAACCTGGTAATTACATTTCACTTCCAGGGATTTATAATTTTTTTGTTAAGCTACTTGTTTGCATTCAGATGCTCATGCGCATTCCTTGTTATACAGGAGAACCGAACCCTTGATGAAGGCAAGAACCAGAGGGGACAACAAATGCACATGGTCACACAGTTCCCTTTACAGGGTGGCAGAAATGAACAAGACCAAAGGAATGTCTTCCTTTCTGACAAAATATGATGCTGTTTGAAATGTCTCTGGGAGACTTTGGGTTGCAGAGGTCTTTCCAGGGCAACTGAGCAATGAGACCACTCAGGTTTATGTCGACATCATGTGACAAAATAAGACAACTAACTGTGACGATTCTGGGAGATCTGCATGTGGTCTCTTAAAGACCTCCAGTAAAATTGGGGTTTTGAGAGGGCTCCTGGCTCTCATATTTTCTAAGAGTCATGTGAACTGAAGAATAGGATGGTTTGGAGCCTTCCTGGGTTAGTTGCTAGTAAGAATTCTGCCACAGAACTGCACTATGGGTTCTCTTTGACCTCGGGTGTCCAAAGTGAGTCAAAGAAAATTGGTGTAAGTTCACTGGCTTCTGCTTTTCAGTAAACAGTCTGATGAGGCACAAGCTTTACCCATAACTGTCACTTCAAGACTTCATTGGGGGCGTCATTTCAACAGGTCTTTTATCATGTTTTATATTGGAACGTTGTTATTAGGAAGAAAGTAATGCTTAATTAGAAAAAAAAAGCAAGGTCTATAAGCTGGCAATGGAGACAAAAATCAATGCAGAGGAGCAGGGTCAAACTAAACATTCTCTGTATGGAACAGCCATGTACTTGTGCTCCCAGACTTCTGAATCCTAGATCTCAGTCTAGAGGATAGTAATAGCTCCTAGTCTGTTCCATACGTTTTCTCAAAGGAGAAGCCTTGCAGACATCAGAATGACTTTCCCGCAGTATATGGATGGCAGATGTCATAACGTGGGGAGGGGAGACTTGTTCCTTTGGTTTATTTACAGGGTCTCCCATCCTATGACATGTTGCACTGTGAGTGAATAAAAGAAACCTGTGCCTTGTTTTACTACAATAGTTGGCTCAGCCTGGAGGACTCCTGTCATCACAATGTAGAGGAAACACTGAGCTATCCTAAGCCATTAAAGCACAGTCGTGAGTGGGTTCTATGCCCCTTACTCCTCCTTGAATGTCTCTTCCTTAATGGCCTGTCTTTTAGTTATGAGAAGTGAGGGAAGGGAAGAGGGCAAGAAGGGATATCCTCACTCTTCGTCTTACACATGTAGAGAAAACTTGCACATTCTGTTTATACACACTTTAATTTATGCTGGTATATTATGTTATGGCTATAATGCTATTCAAACACAGCAATTGAGCATTCATCAAAACTGAAACCACCTTCCTGGATTGTCTACCTCTTGTTAACACAGAACTTGTCCTCAAATCCTAGCTGAATGTCCTGGGACTCCCTCTCATCTTCTTCCTCAGTAGGCCACTTTTGGATTGCCTGAGCACCAAATCCTGGAAGAGCAAGTCCAAGACAGATAAAGAAGTTAATACGAAAACAGTGCCGTACAGAATCCAGAAAAGGGTGATCTGAGCACCAGATGTGAACACTCATGGCGTGCATCTCTGACTCTTGCACATCTTCATTTTCAGAATCCTGTAGTCAATAAATTACTGTATAGTATAGAAGATGCACTGGCACTATGGGTGTGCAGGTAGATCAGGACACAGACCCCCATCCTCGGAGAATTCACAACTGCAAAGATGGAAAGGAGGAAACATTGGCTCATTAACTTCTGTGCACAACTTAACAATGGGAAGACCAGAAATAAGTTGCTTACAAGGTATACTTTGCACAGATGCAGAAGATATGGGGCAGGGGTAAAGTCAGAAATCATGTTCTCTTTAACACTGCTGCAAATGTATTGTTTGTGTGCATTGAACATACATATTTCCTCTCTCCTGTTGAACATGTACCTTTTTTTCTAAAATGTATTTTCTCAACCAAAAAAATGTAAAATTCATGAGGGCTGAGCTATGCCTTGCATGGACATTGTCAATACATATGAGTGAGAATCACTCTTCCCCTGACACCACCAGGTAGTAGAATGCTGCCAGCTAGGCTGTTGTTTTGTGCTTCAGGCATCTTGGTGATTATCCTATAAAATGGTCATAAGTGAGATGCTCCTTACCCCAGGATCTGTGAAGGAATAATGCAAGGACATAGAGGATGATCACATCCCAGGGCACTTGAGACCTTATTACATGTAAGTGTGAGATGTAGTTCAAAGTGTAAGAACAGTTCCTCCCATTTCCACAGGTAGAAAGGAACAAGGATACTCCATCTGTCCCTCCTTTGAGGAACAGTTGAGATCAAAGAGTACAGTCTGATCCTCAGAATCAATTACTCTGGCTTCCTAAGTTCAAATACAAGAGTCATTCTTACCTTTCAGCAAGGTGAGTATACTGGCTGGTTTTGTGTGTCAATTTGATACAAGCTAGAGTCATCAGAGAGGAAGGAGCTTCAGTTGAGGAAATACCTCCATGAGATCCAGCTGTAAGGCATTTTCTCAATTAGTGATCAATGGGGGAGGGCCCAGCCCTTGCTGGGTGGTGCTATCCCTAGGCTGGTAGTCCTGGGTTCTGTAAGAAAGTGGGCTGAGCAAGCTATGGAAAGCAAGCCAGAAAGCAGCTCCTGCCTCCAGGATCCTGCCATATTTGAGATCCTGTCCTGACTTCCTTCTGTGATGAACAGCAATGTGGAAGTGTAAGTCAAATAAACCCTTTCCTCTCCAACTCGCTTCTTGGCCATGGTGTTCTGTCACAGAAATAGAATCTCTAACTAAGACAAATTGGTATCAGTTCAGTGGGGTATTGCTGTGACAGACCTGATCATGTTTTGAGGAGGATTGTGGAAGGACTCTGGAACTTGGGCTAGAAGAGCCATTGAGTGTTAAGAGCTCTGTGGGATGTTCTGAGCTTGGAAGATAAGAATGTTGAGAGCAATGCAGAAGATAAAGGCCTGGCTTGTGAAGTTTCAGAGGGAGGTTTAAAGACTCTATTGGGGCCACTTGTTATTTTAAATTCAGATTCTGTGTTTCTAGTTAGCTGGGGCTGAAGTATCAGCTGTGATTAACAAGATATCAGAACTACTAAAGTGAAGCCTTATGTGACTGGGACAATTGATGCTGGTCAGCTGGAGCTGAGAAATTAGCAGTGATTGAGAAGAGGCCAGCATCACTGGGGTGAAATCTTCTGGGAAGTGTTTGCTGAGAGCACAGAGAAGCTGTGTTCCAGAGGCGGCCAAGGTTGAACCTCCTGTTGGCAGCAGGACTTGGTAATGTGTAAGGGTCACCCAGGTGGTACTGGTTTTGAAGGCATGAAGGAGTCATGGAGAGCAGCTGAGGCTTGGCACTGTGAGAGGCCATTGGTGAAGGTGTGTCCTCAGTGGCAGTTTAAGGTCCAGGACTGAAGGGGTCATGTAAAGGACTTGAGACTTGGCACCATGAAGAGAGACTATGAGAGGCATTGATGAAAGAGCAGCCCATTTGCAACAGAAGAGCCCAGCATTTTGGAGATGCCAGTCCATAGGGTGACCACCAAGAACAGCAGCAGCAGTGGAGTGGAGCCAGCTGGGGCCTAGAAGACAAGCTGTGTGTGCTGCAAAGGGCAGAACCAGAGAAGTGACCCAAGCCCTTTGGAGGAGTCCAGAAGATGGTGAGTGGATCCCAGCCATTGGGCGGTTGGAACTGGTTTTGATTTGATTTGATTATGACTGTGCCCCCGATGTTTCCCTCTTGACATAAAAAAGTATTTTACTGGAGCCCACAGTTGAGAGACTGGATTTTAAAAGAGATTGTCTATTTTAAAGGGACTGAAATTTCAATATATTTGAATTTGTAAAGACTGTGGGACTTTTAAAGTTATTTATGTTTTAATGTGAGACCATGGGGATAAATAAGAAAGGAAGGGTTGTGGCTTGATAGTGATGTGTTTATATGTCAAGTTGACAATTTTTGGGGGGTTTGTGCATACGTGTGTTAAACTACTGGCTAGTTTTATATGTCACCTTGTCACAAGCTAGAGTCATCAGAGAGGAAGGAGCCTCCATGAGATCCAATTGTGAGGTATTTTCTCAATTAGCGATCAATGGGGGAAGGCCCAGCCCATGGTGGTGGTGCCATCCCTGGGCTGGTGGTCCTGGGTTCTATAAAAAGGTGGTAAGCAGCACCCCTCCATGACCTATTTCATTGCAGCAATAAAAACCCTAAGTAATACAGTGAGGTGGCATGCTCTAATGTAGCA